CTGGGTTTAGGCAGGTGGCGGCACCACACCGTCGCTGCTCATTTTTCGTATTTTTTGTAAGATGACACGGGTTTCCACCCTCAGCATTGTTAATGCTGATCAGTTGCTTTTTCTCTTTGGATCCATCAAGTAATGAATTACAGTTCATAGTATTATCTTACATTTCTAAAATAAACCCCACCTTGTAATGACTTATTCTTTTAAGAACTACTGAGCTTTATTTGCTAGTATTTTCAGATTTTTGTACTTTATTGATAAATGAGATTAGTCTTCATAGTCTCCTTTTGGTGTGATCTTTGTAATTTCCTTGTTATCAATGTTACACTTCCTTCATAAAATGTACCTAAAGACTTTTCTTTTTTTTTAAATGATCTGAAACAATTTAAGTAGCATTGGAATTTTGTGGTCTCTAAATGTTTTGTAGAATCCTCCAGGGAAACCATTTGAAGAAACAAAAGCAACTTTTTGACTTATTTGATTTCCTTTTTAGAACATCTACCTAGATTTTCTATCATCTGGATGAATACATCATATTTTTCTAGAACATTATTTCTTTCATCCAGGTTTCCACAATTATTTTTGTAAAGTTAAACCAAAAAAAAAAAAAAAACCTCTTGTGATTCTTTTTATTTCCTTTTTTTTTGTATGAATGTACCTTAATATCTGTAGTCTGAGAATTTTATAAGCTCATTTGCATGACCTGCAATGTTAAACTATTTGTTTTTATTTCCCATTTTAGAAAGAAAAATTTCCATTGTAATGTTAAACTCTTGGGCTTTATTTAATTATTGCCACAAAACTCTGTACGATAGATTTATTTAGGCAAAAATTCTGTCCTCTTATGAATATTAAAGTCTACTTTAACCAGATTTATATGAAATTCTTTCCTAGAAGGACATTTTGGTGATTATGTACTGAGTATTTTAACTGTTCGAATAAGGACACAAGCCCCTGACCATCCCTCCCTGCAGGCGCATAAGACATAACACCTGCTATAAACAACGCCTTAAGAAAGCTTAAAGGTTTTTATTTAATTTCAGAGACCACACCAATGAAAGTCCATGAATTTAATCAACCTGCAAGTTATTTACTTGAATGGAGAGTATTGGTACATAATTAAACATTCCATGGAACTTGGGATTCTGTATTAATCACTCAGATTTATAATTCTGTGTTTACCTCATATACTTCAGTAAACACATTCTTTGTATTTCCATGAGGCTTGTATTTCTTAGAGACAGTAATAACCTAATTCATTTACTTGAAATGCTTATTTTCATTTACATAGGAAAGAAAGAATATGTTTCCCTACTTCAAGAACATAGAGGCAGCACAAACTATTGCTTTCTTCTTGAGTCTTGTAAGGCTTAGCTATCTGTTTTCAAAAATGTTGTGACTGATGAGAAAACTGGGCTCAGAGAAGCACAGTGGCTTTCTCTGGGGCACATGGTTATTAACGGCTGAACTGAACCTGGAGTTGAAGTTTCTTAATTCCTTCCCCCTCAGATCTTACAGCTCAATAGTGGAGACAAATACATCAGATGAAGGCAAGAGAATCTGCCATCATCCTTCATGACAAGATGAAAAAGGAGAACATGATCACTTTCAGACTGGGAAATTCTGAAGACCTTGCAAGACAGGTTAGATCTGAGCAGAGTTTTGAAGCTGGTCAGTCTTTGGGAGGAGAATGGAGGACACCCCTCCAGACGGGACCAGCAGAGCAAAGACCTGAGTTTCCCAGAGAAAATCCAGGAGCAAACCCAAGACTCAACCAGGAGCAGGATAGCACGTCTGGTGGCAGTAGCAGGTATGTGCCTGGAGTAGAGAGGGAAAAAAAGAGGGAAAGAGGTTGAAGAAAGATCATGGAGAGCTCTGAGTTATAGGATGAAGAAATGAAATTTATCTCTCGGTAATGGGAAGTTTTAGGAATGCTCCTCTTGGGAGAGGAGCTGGAGGACTGGGTCTCAGTGAGTGGCAGGAGACTTACTGTATACACTTTGTACTACTTGAAGTACTTCCATGTGTATTTATTACTTTGTAAAGAGACAAAATATAAAAATAAGTCGTTAAAACCACAACAATGAAAAATTTATCTGAGCAGGAAATTGCCACAAAGGAAAAAGGTCAGAATCCGGTGTTGATCAATGCCAGCAAACTCCATGAAGCAATTCACCTCTAAGACACTCTGGGGACCGGGCGCAGTGGCTCACGCCTGTAATCCTAGCACTTTGGGAGGCCGAGACGGGGGGGATCACGAGGTCAGGAGATGGAGACCATCTTGGCTAACATGGTGAAACCCCGTCTCTACTAAAAATACAAAAAAAAGAGCCGGGCGTGGTGGCGGGCGTCTATAGTCCCAGCTACTCGGGAGGCTGAGGCAGGAGAAGGGCGGGAACCCGGAAGGCGGAGCTGGCAGTGAGCTAAGATCACGCCACTGCACTCCAGCCTGGGCGACAGAGCGAGACTCTGCCTCAAAAATAAAAATAAAAATAAAAAAGACACTCTGGGTTGTGTTTTCTCTCTTGGGTAAGAGACAAATGGAAGAGGAAGAAAGTGAGCTCAGGAGAAACGTTGTCTCCCAGACCTGAAGCAATCAATATGCTTTGATAATTTTCCTATCAGGTAATAATTTAAGCTCCAGAGAGAGAGAGAGGTTCAAAAATCTACGGTGCGCCCTAACCCTATTAATAAATCATAAAGATAAAAAACACCTGTTAGAACAGGGTCACAAAGGAGAACAAGTACAAGTTTAGAGAACATTAAATGAACGCATCTGCCGAGAATGTTGTTTCTTATATTTTTGTGTGTAAAGTCAGTGAGTCAGCAAGTTCTTCATTTTTGTTTGAAAAGCAGCTGAAGAGCATAGCTAGTTCAGAGATCAGAAACCAAGGAATCCTGGAGAAGTATCCTGCAGCTTAGGGGCCTTTACCCAAAGTAACCAGAAAAGCTCTGATTCTGAAATGCTTACAATGAAACATGCCCCCACGAAATCCAGCTAATAACAGAGATTTGGTTTCATTACTGTGATTTTAATTTGTCTGTAATGGACATAGTCAAGGAAACAATCAACACAGTAGAGAGACGACCTATGGGATGGGAGAAAACATTTGCAAACCATACATCTGATGAGGGTTCAAAATCTCTAAGGAACGCAAACAACGCAATAGTTAGAAAACAAATAACCCAATTTAAAAATGGGAAACACATCTGAACAAACATTTCTCAAAAGAAGTCACACAAATGGCCAACAGGCATATGAAAAATGCCCAATGTCACTAATCATCAGAGAAAGCAAATTAAAACCACAATGAGACATCACCTCACACCTGTTAGAATAACTATTATCAAAAAGACAAAAGATAAATTTTGGTGAGGATGTGGAAAAAAGGGAATTCTTGTATATTGTTAGTGTGAATGTCAATTAGTGCTGTAATTCTGGGAAATAGTAAAAAGGTTTCTCAAAAAAGTAAAAATAGAACCACCATATGATCCAGCAATCCTACTTCTGGGTACATGTACAAAGGAAATGAAATCAGTGTGTCAAAGAAATAGCTACACTCCCCTGTTCATTACAGCATTATTCACAACAGCCAAGATATGGACTCAAACTAAGTATCCATCAGCATAGGAATGGATAAAGAAAATATGGTATATATGCACAATGGAGTACTACTTAACCCTGAAAAAAACCAAAAATGTTGTCACTTGTGACAACATAGATAAATCTAGGAGATATTAAGTGAAATAAACCAGGTACAGAAAAATACTGCATGTTCTCACCTATACTTGGAATCTAAAAACGTTGAACTCATAGAAGTAAGGAGTAAAATGGTAGTTACCAGGGAACTGTAGTCGAGGAGGGAGTTGAGATGTTGGTCAAAGGACACAAAGTTTAAGTTAGATAGGAGGAATAAGTTCAATAGATCTATCGTAAAACATGGTGGCTATAGTTAATACCAATATATTATAGTCTTGAAAATTGCTAAGAAATGTTAAGTATTCTCACTCCCTAAAAAATAAGTACATTAATTAGCTCAATTTAGCCATTTTACAATGTATACATATTCCAAAAGGATGTGTTGTATGTGATCAGTAAAGATCATTTTTACTTGTCAATTAAAATTGTTTTTCATTTTTAAAAAACAGACATATGGTTTTATGTCTGAGATTTTAATCTGTATGTAATGGACAGATTGAATTTGAATTATATCTGGGTTCTTGTGATGGTTTTATGAAAACGGATATCAAGATAGAGTGAAATAGGCTGTGTACACCACTATTGCAAAAACCAATAACTCAACATTTCTTTGGACTTAACAGCATGAAGATGGCCCTTCTGCATTGAATTAGTTCAATTGATATCAGTCTTCAGTTAAGTAAGAAAAGTTACTTTAAAAAACCAGCTGGCACTCATTTTTAAAATTGTTCGTTCCATAGCATTTGTTGTTTAAATGAATTCAGCAAGCTGCCAGCCTGTTCCTTCATATTAATCCTTCCAAGTATTTGAGAGGTTGCCAGAGCATGTCCTGACATTACAAAATCATTAAATAAAGCATTTTCAGTAACCAGTGTTGGAGAGAAGAGAAAAGGAAATGGGAGGGGAAGGGAGGGGAGAGAAGGATAGGGAAGGAAGAGATGAAGAAAAAGAGCAGAAAGAAATGGTCTGAAAGAAAGAGAATGAATGAATCAACTACAAATCCTACAGAATCCCTTCTGTTCATATCTTTTTGTTTGCTTTATTTTCCTGTCCCAATAACATTTGTTAAGAATGTGTTAATATATTTTAAAGGCTATTATTTCTTAATATAACTTCATAATAATAACGACTCTTCCTAAAGCCTTCAATTTTAATTTAGGAATGTTAACGAAAGATGGATGTCCACAGCAGCAAAATGGACACAGGTGCCCTTTAAAAGAACCAGGAACCATCTCTTCAGTGCACCAGGCTGAGTCACAGCTGCTCTTTGCTTAGCACGCTGATCAGGGGTACAAAGTGATGACTCTCTGGATGAACTTTTCAGACAGAAGGTCATTCTGTGGGAGATGCAGAAATGACAAAAGGTCAGCAATTCTGTTAGCTTTGTGGTTAAGTTTTCCACGGTCTTTCTTGTTAAGTAGATTATAGTGCTTGTTTTCTTCATTATCCAATTAAAGCATGAAAAACAAATGCTCCTTAATCAACAGAGACAGATGAAATATTCCCAAAACCCTTTTTTGGAAGAATATATTGAAAAGAAGAAGCTAATGGAGAAACATGCAGGACTAAATACAACATGTAAATTGGTAGCTTATAAATCCCCTGCCGTCGTCCTGATTGCCAGCTTTCCTCTTTAGACTTCACTGAAATAATTTTAATTCTTCCCACCAAGCTGTGAAAAGCTGAGAGTATAGGAAGTAAATAACTTTTTCAACTGGTTTGATGTTAGTTCTCATATCTAACATACGACCACTCACCTTTGCTCTTGGTAAACAAGCAGCAGCAGATGAACAATGGGTAGCAGAGTTTTCATAGCTACTTCTGTGTTTCCAAGCTTGAGTTGTTTTGGATTTTTTGTGTTTATATTTAAGCAGTTAGACACATATATTAAAGTATCAACTGGCTTTTGCTTGCAGGAGTAAGACATGGTATTCAAATGTCAATTTTACTCTCCACATCACATCATTTTTATGAGGAGATGATTCTTTCCCCTCATTTTAGGAGTTTAAGGATTTGTCCCAAGATTTAACTTAAAAATAGTGTAAATAATTGATTACGAGAAAAATTATTAACAGTTGCAGCTCTTATGTAAGAATCTTACAAAAATCTTTTGTATCTAGTTGACTATTATTCAATAATGGCAACAATAGAAATTATTTTCCCAAGAGGTTTATGACTAATTTTATAACAGTTCCTGCTCGCTTTCCTGTATTTCAGTAAACTCTTCTATAAAATAAAAATATTTGGATGGATAATTTTCAAGATTAATTTTGCTACTAAAATATCTTTCTAATGTTTATATGGTTTAAATAGACCACATGTGTTTATTTATATTCTTCCTTAACCTACTGGCCTCCTTTAAGTGGCATCTGAAGCAAGATTTCTCTTCAACATTTATAATGTTTCATAATCTCTTCTTCCTATAATTATATTCCCACATTTTCAATGACATTAACCATTTCCATCTCTTTGGCATGAAGCATATATCCTGTTGATGATCCATAGTTAGGTCAAACCATCGATTAGTTTTCATTACCTAAAATGTCTCTCTCCATTGAGGCAAGGTTTATTTACTCAATTCTACATCTGCCAAAGAAGAAACATTCACGCTTCAGAAGGTGCAGCGGAGGGCATCCACAGTGTTCACAGCCATATGGAGACACTGTCATGTAAACACAGACAAAAAAGTCTAAGAGTCAACTTGAAAAGAATGTTTGCTGAGTGGTTACATTTGATAATTTGTTAAAAGTAAAATAACTAAAGTAGCTAATCACAGGATGAGTACAAAAGGAGTGAACACAACTATTCTGTAATAAGAGTGTAACATTAAAAGGAAACCACTTCATTAAACCCCATTAAGTGTACCCCCATGTAGTTCTCATTTCCACAGTCAGAGATCTCAAGCATCTTTTAGTTACTTCTTGATCAATATCAAACCAGTTACATTAGAAATACAAGGCAGTGATGAAGTTCAAAACAGGTAAATGTAGAGTAACTAAAAGGCAGAATTGTGTTACAAAATTCAGTCTAATACTTTGCTTCCAAGTTGTGGTATTGTGAATACCATAGTCTGTCTCCCAATATTTGTTCTCCCTTTATTTCAAAGTAATTGAATCTCATTTTTTTTTAATTTTGTAAATCAGATCTCCATTTCCCCGTCTTCTTTGCTGCTTGGTGTGATCATGTGATTATGTTCTGGCCAATGAGATGTGCATGGAAATTTCCTCTGGCAGCCTGTGGCCACTCTGTGTCTCTTCCTCCTTCTTTCTGCCTGGAACACAGATGTGATGGTTATACCATGTGGATAAGGGTACACATGTGTTAAGGTAGCCTGCCAATGTGAGACAAGGCTGAGTCCCTGGGCCCACCATGGATCAGTCCTGCCATCTCCACTCTGCCTTGCCCACCTCTAGACTTTACAAGAAAGCAATAAAATTCCATCTTATTTAAGTCATTGATATTCTAGAACTCTGTGATATGTAGTAAAACCCAGTCTCAACAAATATCACTGGCAAGTCAAAATATAAATGAAATTCTGTAAAAAGTATATGTAAAGTCATGTGTGACACATCCAAAAACGAGCTCTGAAAATAGCAAGAAAGAATTCTAGTATGTTCCTAAACTGCAGGGTTGAGAGCCAGCAGCTCAACTCTGTCATCCACAAACCAATCCTGTGTTCTTAATTGGGGATATAATCCTGTTCCAGATCATTATAGGTTTGACTTTCTATTTTACTTCATATTAGCTTCTGAGGACTTTACACAGAGCAGCCTAGTAGCTAAGCCTAATAACCCAGAACTACCAAAATATCCATAAGTGATTCTAATCAAGACTTTTCCATGATTACCTCGGATAATGTCTCTTTTCCTGGTGATCCTACATATCAATAAAACACCTGTGAGAAACTGCTTCTCCTGGATATGGGGAGTAAAAATTTGACTGATATATTTCATCGATTAAATCATTCCAATTCAATGTCTTACTGCCAATGTTAGCAGATGTTCTGCTGTATTTTCAAAGGGGGTAAATATTCAAAGGTGATGGAATTTTCCACCACTTCTGTATCAATTTGGATCTGTCCAAGTCTTACTGTTGGTCATTGTTTTCCATTTCCTAAATGTCTCAGAGATTTCCACTGTTTATATTGATTTCCTTTGTTCACCTAAGGGATTTTGAGAAAAATAAAAACAGTCCACAATAATTGAAAAGCTCTCTTCCTCATAACCTCCTATCATTCTCTCTCAGGTTGACAGAGAAAAGAAGCCTCCATGAATATTTTAGGATATCCTTTATTCCCTTAGTTTTTCCGTCTTGCACGTGGAAGGCACCTTCCTAACTTAGTGTTGTCTGTATAAATCACACTTTGTTCACTGGCATACAGTGAAGCAAGATGTTTTCTTATTTCCCCTTTCGGGTAACTGCATCTCATTTATTGCCTGGCAGTCCCTAATTATAGTATTTTTTTTTCATTTTTATCTTATACAGTAATGACATTGTCCATTTCCAGTGTCAAAAACTTACTTGCCTAACTTGGCATTAATTTATGATCTCAGTTCACTGTGTGCCATACACAATCATTAGGAATCACAGTGAAATCACTAGGAATTCCAGTATGTCTTTGCTGTGTTAGTCAATGTGTCTGGGTGTGTTCATGTTTCTGTAAAGAACTTTATGGTCTTCTTTTTCACTTTTAAGACAGAAAAGTGCATTCTATGCATATGCATTCCAAGTTTTACAGAGGAAAGCAAGTTTTGTAAATTTTCCACATTACATTGACTTATCTGAATGTTATGCCCAATAAGCCCTAGAAAATGCAGTTTCTATTCTGCTTATCCTTAAATACCTACCAATGTATTTATGGATAATTGGCAAACCATTCATCAGGGGAACTGATCAATACAGGAAGCAAGAAAGAGGTTGCTGTTCTTTTTTAATTTGCCTCTTTAATTTGTTCTTCTTTGATTTGGAGTAGCTTAAGTAGTGACACTTGAAACACAGAAACCTATCATAGATCTACAAACAAAAATACACAGCACAGACAGTAGAGCCACAGTCCTAATTACACAATCTGTTTATCATACATATTATAATGCATATTCTTATTTTAGTAGTTTTTAGCTTTATTCTATTTTTGCCATTCATTTCAGGAGCTACCCCACATGTCACCTTCTACATGAAGAGTTCCCTTCGTTAAAGTGAAAAGACAGCCTACACAATAGGAAAAGATATTTGCAAATCATATATCCAATAAGTGATGTGAATTAGGTCATTCTTGTTACACTCAACTAAAACAGAGTCAAGCCAGCGGGAGAAGCACTCAGGGAATGCAACAGCACTCTGAGAATGTAATTCTCTGCAAGCCTGGATGCTGAAATCGCCTGCTGTAACCTGAAACCAGTTTTATCTCATGACTGCTGAAACAACCTGCTGCAACTCTAAGACTGGTTTTACTGCCATCACTCACCAATGAGAGCTTGCCAGCTCCCCAAAACTTGACTAATGCCAAAGAACTTTCTGGAAAACAATACATAACATTTATCTTTTTTATAAACTCCCAATCGTCTCTTTGTTCTTCAGATACACTGAAGACCATCCTATCTGTATGTATGTCCCTCATTGCAATTCTTGTATCCCAAATAAAATGTTAAATTTAGAACTTCTTCTCTGTATTTTTATTTTGATTTCAACAGGCGTATGTATCTAAAATATTTAAGGACTCCTGCAAATCAACAATAAAAAGAAAAATAACACAATTTAAACATGGGCAAAGATTTTAATAGGTATTTCCCCAAGGAAGATATACAAATGGCTAGTGGGCATATGAAAAGATGCTCAACATCATTTGTTATTAGGGAAATCAAGTACAAATGACTTCATATCAACTAGGGTGGCAAAAGTAAAAAATAGGGACAATAACAAGTATTAGAAAGGATGTGAGTCATTGGAACCCTCAAACAGAGCTAGGGGAATGTAAAATAGGGCAGTCACTTCGGAAAACAATTTTGCAGTTTCTCAGGGAATTAAACATAGAGTTACCATATGACCCAACAATTCACTTCTAAGTATTATCCAAGAGACATGAAAATATATGTCCATATAAACCCACACATGAATGTGTATAGCAGCATTATTTAGAATAACCAAAAAAGTAGAAATGTCCATCAAATGATGAATGGATAAACAAACATGGTATATTCATATAATGGAGTATTATTCAGCTATACAAAAGAACCAAGTACTGATACTGGAAACAACATGGGTGAACATTAAAAACATTATGCTAAGTAAAAAAGAGCCAGACACAAACACATTTTGTGATTTAATTTTTATGAAATGTCCAGAATAGGCAAACCTATAGAGACAGAAAGTAAATTCAAGACAAAAAGTAGAAATCTAAAGACACAAGTAGAGACTGAAAGTAGGTTGCCAGAAACCTGGGAAGAGGGAAAAGGAGATGACTGCTAATGGGAACAGGGTTTCTTTTCAGGATTGTGATAGTGTTCTATTATCAGATAGTGGTGATGGTTGTACAATTTTGTGAATATATTGAAAACCCTGAGCTGTAAACTTTAAACTAAAAAATATATATTTAAAAACCTGTGGCTGAGTGTAATGGCTCATGCCTGTAATCCCAGAACTTTGCATGGCTAAGGCGAGAAGATCACATGAGCCCAGGAGTTCAAGGCCAGCCTGAGCTGTAACAAAGTAAGACTCCATCTCTACAAAAAATTAAAAAATTAGCCAGGCATGGTGGCATGCACCTATAGTCCCAGCCACTCAGTAGGATTGCCACTTGAACCCAGGAATTCTAGGCTGTGTGAGCTATGATTGTACCACTGCCCCCGCAGCCTGGGCAACAGAGCAAGACCCTGTCTCTAAAGAAAAAAAAAAATTGCCATCTCACTAGTTAGAGACATTCAATCTAAGATGGGTGTGAGATATGGGATTGAAAGAGAAAAATAATCTGATAGATATGGTACCATGTCATCTGAAGCAAAAGGAAAAAGAAATCTTCCCAGTTGCCTTTCCCTTCCTTCTGAAGCCCTATTCTTTCTGAGGCTGCAGTGGGAAATGGAAAGCAGTATATGAGAGGCAAGTGTGATCAAGTATATAGCAAACTGTATCTAATAACAGTATATTACACCCAGATCTGTCACTCCAGGCTGGTCATGACAGTTATAGAAAGCAAGAGGAAAGGGAAGAGGGGAGGTATTTGCTACCTGGTATTAATAAAGATCTAAGGCTCATACAACATATCGTCCCATAGACATTTCATCCCAATCTACCCAAACAAAATTTTGCCAGAAGTCAGACAAAACCACTCCATATGCTCTTGCTCTCATGACCCCTACAGCGGGATGCCTTGAACTAGACTTCATCATACATTCTTTGTTTTTTGAGATGGAGTCTCTCTCTCTGTCACCCAGGCTGGAGTGCAGTGGCACAATCTTGGCTCACTGCAACATCCGCCTGCTAGGTTCAAGTGATTCTCCTGCCTCGGCCCCCCAAATCACTGGGATTACAGGTGCCCACCACCATGCCTGGTTAATTTTTTGTAATTTTTAGTAGAGACAGTGTTTTGCCATGTTGGCCAGGCTAGTCTTAAACTCCTGACCTCAGGTGATCCACCTGCCTCGGCCTCCCAAAATGCTGGGATTACAG